AATTAAACATAGAAGTCACTTATTCAACCTTTTACAGCTCAAATCTCATTGTATTATGAAAAAAATACCTTAGATCTCTCCACTTTTATAAAGAAATTGTACACATGATAAATATTGAGCCCCAAAATATATTGTTCCAGCTTCATACATTGAATGATAAGTCAATGTAGTTTTCATCATGACAGGCCTACTTAGTATGATCTAGATGGACACACACACAAACACACACACACAGATTCATTGGTATCTGAGCCTGTCACTGATTTGTTTAAAAAAGGTATAGAATGAGTACCTGAGAATTAATGCTCCTGTATCAGCTTGTCAGTGGATGAAAGACACATGCTGCAGGCTCCAGGCTCATTCTTGGGTTTTATTATCGATGAACAGCCCAACCTGTACAGTCACAAGATTCAGTTAATTACATAAAACTCAGATGTGGTTTATGATATAATTCTTGCATAGTACAGTGCTGAAAATATGTTTATGGTATTAGGAACCAAAAGAAACACACAGGCTTTAAAGGTGCACTGGGTAACGTTTCTGGAAGAGAGACCGCTAGTTACTTGTCCCCATGGAGATGTTACTGCTTTACCTCCAATATCCAAAGTATTAAGCATTTCAGTCTCCAAAAAAACAAGCAGGGGATGTCACCAGGCCAATTTACAGAAGAGATCTGTGAAGAGGTGACCCCACTCACAGTAAGAATACTGTTTTTAAAGATATTTTTGAGCAATAAAAAGACCCATAATTGAATAAACGCAACTTATATAAGTTTAGTACCATATTCTGGAACATTACAGGTAAAACAATAGCATCTCCGTGGTAGCGGACCCCCAACCTGAAAAGTTATGCAGTGCACCTTTAAAATGGTTAATTGTGAAGATCTGCTATTTCAGTGAAAAAAAAAATCATTATGAATAAAAGTTCATCTGAGGACACTCCCAAAAACAGCTTAAAGCAATTTTTTTTTTTTTGTCAGTAAAACAAGTAGTAAGATTACTGCCTTCTAAGTGAAATGAGTTATTAGTTTTAGTATTTTGAGTTTACTCTGCAAAGTCAAGCATGTTAAAAAAAAAAATAAATAAAAAAAAAAAAAAAAATAGTAGGCTAACTCCTTAAAAGTTTAAAAAGTGTTCAGAATTATTTAAATGTCAGAAAGGACATATTCTATTAATGGATGTTTTATCACGGTTTCACTGTAATCTAAACTAACTAAAGTTAATATTAACAATCATATTTGGATCTCCAGCATTGCTCTTCTTGTGTAAACTGTTCCTCTGAATGTTCCTGAAAAGCTCTTATATAATAAAGGCATTGGTCTGAGCAGGGGGGGGTCTCAGTAATGCTGTGATTGTTGTGGTTATTCTGAAACATTTGTGCACATGCTCCAACCTAACGGGCCATTCAACATGGTCCTATTGCACACTCTGCCCATTGGACTCACTGCTACACGCTGAATCCAGTGAAGGCTTCTTAGGCCTACTTAATTACGGGATACAAAACCCGTAATAAAAATGTTTATGCGCATATTGTAGCGCATAGCTAATACTGAACTAGCACCGTAGTCAAATAATTAGAAAAAGTTTAGATTTTTTCCTGGTGCCCAGTGTGCGTGTCCGAGCTGCAGGTGCACCGTTGACCTGCACACTTGTTGCTCAACATTGGCGGTGAAAAACTTGGCAATGTTTTAAAATATATACATATAACTTTGCACAACTTACCAGTGTTATGAGAACAAAATAGCGGAGATGTGGAGCGCTCCATCCTCGAGTTTAGAGTTGTTCGCACTAAATCAATTGCGGATTCCGGAACTGGGAGCGTGCTGAAATTCCGCAAAAACTTTCAGAATAAAACTCGTAGTCAACCTAATTTTACAAACATTTTTGGCGCTGAAATTGGTACCGACACGCTACATTACCTACGGAGGCTGCACCTCGTTACAAATTTGGTGTTTGATTTGGGATCTAAACATTTTCACGCAGCTTTTGAGTGGGCCTAGATCAATGAGTCTGGGAACATGTCACCACAACCCATAAACTGTAATTGTTTTGTCTCCATAAGACTTGACAAATAAACACAGGGATAAAAAGATTATAGAATTATGCATTCATTATTTACCATATAAAAAATCATAAATCCATAAACATCCATTATAGCTTGAATTTTCTTAACTATGCTTCACAAAAAACAGACTGTACTTTGTAAACCTTAGGTCAGGATTGGCGGCCCTTCTGATTATACCTTACTAAACAAAGCAGACGCCTTAAAAGTTCTGTTTGTGTCCCCACTTTGAGGAGAATGCCATAAGTTTTCTCGTATTTTCCTCTGACCTTGGGCACTGCTGTATTTTTAAAGCTTGCAAACAAAGTTTCTGTGAGAGCCATCTCACACATAAAAGCAAGAAGAAAGAAAGAAAACCTTGAAACCTGATTAGTTGGAATTACACAGCTACACACCACAATAAACCTGCAATATAGTGATGAAAGTGCAGACTGTAAGTAATTTGAGAAATCCAAAATTTCACATAGCATCCTGAATACAGTTAGATGGCATTGTGAGATAGGGCCAAAGATAATTGCTTCAGTTACTAGAGGTCAGTAAATGGAAAATATGTCTACATAGTTTTTGTTTTTGACCTCTTGTACTCTATATAGCAGATTTTTTTTTTTTTTTTTTTTTTTTTTTTTTACTTATTTTCTATTTTATTTTTACTTGTACATGCACCTTTATATCATCATGGTGTATTTTGACACCAGTCTCTTGCTATCTTTATTGCTACTTATTTAAATTGTATCACTACCATTTATATTTTTTACTCTTTGTTATTACAGTATATTGTGATGAGTGAGCTACTGTGCCCAAGTAATTTCCCTTGAGGATCAATAAAGTTTCTTTAAGTCTAAACCTATTTTTTTTAATATAATTGTTTAATTAATTGTTGTTGTTTTTATATGTAACCATTTAAAATGTCAGATGTTTTCAATATATTTTGATTCTGTATTTAGTTTCAGTATATTTAGGCCCATGACAGCCATTTGATAGACTTTATTTAATTATGAATTTCTATGTATGTTTTCGCTTTTAACACAGAATTTCACTAATAGTTCATATTTAAACAGGCATCTCTCCCAGCACAAAAAGATGACTAGTTGTAAACACCTGAGCATCTTTGGTGTGTTGTATTTTATCATTGAGAGATAAAAATCACAACCTACTTCAGAATCACTGAGGTGGCACAGTGTATACATTAATCCTGGTAATGGGTGGTATTAAATGTCATGTCTGCGTGCATTAAACCTGCCATCTATCACAGGTCGGATGAGACTCCAGTATGAACGCACTGAAAGGCATAATGATTAATTTTATTCCTCTTTGTTTGCTATTATGGACCACATGTCTGCAATGGGATTGTTAAAGTGTCAACACAGCGTGAATTATGCAGCCCAAACAGTTAGCGGAGCTGGAATGTTCCTCCCAGCAGGATCTTACATTTACTGTACAAACAGCTCCTGCCGGGCCTGCCTCGACCCATAGTACAGGTATTTCCAAGTACAACACTGATTAGTACCAAGGACCTAAGACTCAAGTTAAAACAAGCTGCAAGTTTCCTTTGACACTTCAATCAAAAATGTATTCACAAAAGAGTTGAGCACGTGTTAATATCCAATGCCTGCACGTATCTTTTCACACCCTTCCAGTCATATAATTATAGGCTTTATGCACAGACGATATATGATACGAATGCTGTAGCGTTAAACTGCTCTAAAATGCGTTAATATGCATTCAAAAAGCTTTGGGGTAAACTAATAAAATCATGTATGCCACTCTGCGCCTAGAGCCCCTATAGTAGACCATTACCAATTACATAAGCCTATTGAAACATTCAGGAAAGTTTGGTGACGTGTGTTGCTTCATAACAATGTCCGCAGTGGGGACTGGACCACCAGCTTGCTAATTGGCTTAGAGGTGGACCGTGCAACTTTTCCGTTAGAGGGTCCGCAACCTTGTTTGTGAGTAAAATCCCTCAGTCATCCAGGTAGAATCCAACCTGATTCATCAGCCGGTTTCACTTTGTGGAAACCCTCTGACCTCGCAGCATTAGGATTTTTTTGTTCGACAGTAGGAGGGTACTTTTTTTATTACCCAATGGGTGCTATTCGGTCATGACGTATGTAATGTGCTGCTAATGGGGCTAACTGGTATAGTAAGCTTTTCCCAAATCCGTAGAAAGAAGGGCAATAACGTCTTTCCCCTTGATAAAATTCACCAAACATTCTCTTTGTTTCGGCTTTAAATCCTCAATTTCGAGAATCATTGCCAACACAGAATGTATGACTCTTCGCTGATTGGCTGGTGCCTGGACTCGCACTTCCGGGGTTCTTGCAAACCGTCTAGTGTATTCTGATTCCTAACCTAGTCGCTGGAGAGAAATTAAATTGAGCAGAGGCACTAGGTGGTGCCAGCCTAGCTAGGCAGAATCCATGGCAAAGGAGAAACTTAATTTGTCAACTGGATAAAAGTTTATTTTGGTCAAATACATTTTGTAGCTCATCCAAGCTGCTTCTTCAGTTCTGAACTGTTCTGAACTTCAGGACTGAAGAAGCAGCTTGGATGAGCTGTGAAACGTATTTGACCAAATTAAACTTTTGTCCAGTTGACAACTGAATTTCTTCTTTGCCATGTCTCAGGTTAGATGTTTACTTGGAATGCTCCACAGTATGGCATTAAAGGAACCTACATGACAGAAAATTGACTCTTGTGAGGCTTGTAAGCCATGCTAGAATGTTGTGTTTTGTTTGATTCATCCATGTTTGAGAAATCCTGCATTATTAGTCTGTCTACCTCGCCAAAGCTCAGAATGCTCTGTTCCACTTCGTGATGTCATAAGGAGGTAGTTTTCAAGTTAACAGCTCCTTTTACCTTTAGTTCATTATATTATAAACCAGGAAATAGCTTAATATGAGCCCTTTAAACTTTTCTCTCTCGCCTCTCTACAGATCAGAAGTTGGTCTGGTTGCATCCATGGAGATAGAAACGTTTAATGCCATACTGTGGAATATTCTTAGCCATGCATTAACATCACCATGGAAGAAAGCAGGTGGCAGACCCTTCATCAGAACGGTTACACAATGCACCTTTAAAGGAATGTAGGTATTTTGACAAACTCCAGGCTATACTTACTGTAAGGTGGTTTTAAATGAGGACGCCAAGTGGAAAAATATACAAAACATAATTACATAACAGGTGCCATGATTGAGTGGTTGATCCACTTCGCACAGCCCACAAGAACTTACATGTGCAAATATTTTCAAACTGTTACTATGAACAAACCTGCTTGGTTCCACGTGACAGTCTATATGCCCAAAATGCTACATTCAGTTGTATGTTTTTTTATAGTTGTATCACTGTTTATATTAAAACTAGTTGTGAAAAGATACATTGAGTACTACATGACGTGATCCTATTTTTTTATTATCCTGACCTGAGTAAAATAAATTGAGGTATGAATTAAAAGGTGCACTGTGTAACTTTTTGGTTGGGGGTCCATCACCTGCTTGTTTCTATGGATATGTCATTGCTCTGCCTGCAATGTTACACAATATGACATTAAACAGTTCTACCTATTCAGTAAATTACAGGTGGTTTTATAGCTCAAAAATTCCTAGAAAAAAAGGCATTCTGATTGTGGGAGGGGTTGCTTTTCCAAAAACCTGACCTGTAATTTGGTTTGGTTTTGTCTCCATGAAGATAGGTTTAATACCATAATGTGAGGCATTCCAAACAATGCAATAACATCTTCACTGAGACAAGCATTTGACGGAGCCTCCACCAGAAAAGAAAAGTTACAAAATGCACCTTTAAACCTACTTATCTCTATTACAATATTTGCTTATGTTGGTAAAAGTGTAGCTAAAATCTTAATGTAAACCTGTGACAATAACAGTACATTCATCACACAATAAAGCCTGAACACTGAGGAAAGGTGAGGAGAGTTACATAATCCAAGGCACTGGGGAGCAAATAGTCCTGAAGATTGTGCTGGGGTTGTGGTCAGTCAGGCTGAGAGCTCCCCCTGCTGGGCTCAGACACACGGTGCTGGTAATGTTTCTGTAGAGCTGCACTGGCCGTGTGGGGGCGGCCGATAGACGGTCTTAACATAATTTTAGATGAATTGTTCCCAGACGTCGCACCGGGTATGAGTTTGTCAGCACTGAAAAAGAGAGGAAGTGCCAGTCATTTCTGTGAAAGAAGTGGGCAGGCGTATTTACTTTTTTGCAATTTAAGATCAATATCAAAGTCTCCACCCTGTTCAGAAATGGAACTTGGAACCTTTTCACTGTGAGAGGTGCCAGCTTTTATACCATGTTTATGTCTCATGTCACCAATTTTTTAAGTGAATAATAAAACAAATTAAAACTAAAATCTTTACAACTAAAAATAAAAACTAGTCCAATCCTTCAAATTAATTTCTTACATAAGAATATTGCATAAGATCTGTTAAGGACATTTGGAGTCCATTCCACCTACTTTGGGGATTATTACTGTCACACAAGTGCAGAACTTTAGAAGAGAGTATGGCTACTTTATAAAACAATTACAAAACAAGTATAAAGATGCACGGTTTCACTTTATAATTATAATAATATAATATAAAATATAATAATACACTTTATAATAACCACATCCTATTTAAACTTTTGTGGTGGAGGGTTTGCCACCTACTTGTCTCCATGGAGATGTTATTGCTTTGACAAGAATGTTCCACAGTATGACATTAAACGTATACATCTAGCATTTATTCATTACAGGTATTTCTATTGCTCAAAAATACGATAATTCCTTCTGTGAACAGGGATGACTCTCCACAGATCTGACCTGTAATGTAACATAGTGCCTGACATTATAACACAATAATATTTCCAAGGAGACAAGCAGATGATGGACCTTCCACTAGAAATGTTACGCAATGCACCTTTAGCCTTAATAAAAACTGATTAATAATGCAGTTAGTTTATTTAGAATGATTCTGTCCTAGTAACTATAAGTAAAAGTTTATGATTAGAAGTCAGGGTTAGGCTATTAATTAAGTAGTAACTAAGCCTGAATAATTCTTAACTATTTGTTCATTGTAAATTCTAGTCCTTGTTTAATCCTTTATGAAAGCTATCAAAAGTGTGGTTATTATAAAATGTTACCAAAAATACTGCATCCATACCATGAAGGCATCCATCCATGGGTCATTTCTTTCAGCGGAGGAGGTCGAGGTGTTTGTGAAGGGAGTGAAGAAAGCTTTATATTTGAGCCTGGTAGCAGCAGGGTTTCCTCTGGTTTCTTATCATTTACAGAAGCTGCAGCTAGGTGGCGCTTTATACTCTTGAAATCGAGCAAGAGTTCTGCATTGACCTGCATCAGTCTACGGGTTCGAATCCCTGGAGCTTTGCGACCAGTTTGGGATGTGGCGCTGGTCGGGGGAGATGGGAACAGCGTGGATTCTGGAGATGATATTTGAGCCACATCAGAGGAGCTGTCCATGTCTATAACAGACACAAAAAGAAGTATATTCAGTAAAAAAAAAAAAAAATTAAATAAGTAAAGTAGGTATTTATTGAGTTGACCTGGTGAAGGAGACTGGAGCAAAGAATCTGGTGAATGCTGGTTCTCCTCATCCTCTTCACCAGAACTAGAATTTCTGAGATCATCAAAACAATCTTCTTCCTCATTATCTTCATCGTCACTGTGCCGAATAGTTAAAATCTGTGGAAGCTTTTCTGTTTTTATTGCCTCAAGGCGCCTGGAAAATCATGGAAGTGGTTTAAGGTTGTTTCCTATTTAGAAATTGTCAATGAAATATTGATTATCTTGAAATATTTAACATACTTACAGTTCTATAACTAAACACTTCACCCAAACGGAAAACAATAAAACAAAATCTAAACTAAAAAAAAGGAACCTAAACTAAACCAATAAACCCAGAATGAATGATATAATACACCATAACCTAGCATTAGATTAAGTATCATAAGTATCATATGATTACATCATAAGTAAAACATATTTTTAACATGTTTTTTTGACAGGAAATCTTTATTGTCTCATACTTCAGAAATATAATATAATACATTTGGGAAATTTTAGAACATTTTAATTGGACTTGCTCCACCTCTGAGTGAGTTCATTATGCTCAAATCCAGTATCAGTGATCGGGTAACAAGAGCCTCTACCAGAGGTGACTGTGTAATACCTTATAGACGCACAACATTCAGTCAGCAGGTGTTATGAGTCAAAGGTACAGAAATCTGGAACAACATCCCAGCTGCAATAAGAGACTCTACCACGTTCAATATGAAACGATGGCTTAAGAGAAACCAGATCTGTGATCACTAATGTTATGCTTCTATGTAAATGTCAGGTTTGTGTGTTATGATTGTGTCTTATTGTGCTGTTTCTATCATGTTTGTCCTATGAACTGTCATTGACAGTTTGTCTATTGTTTGATGTTGTCTCTGTCTCTCTGACCTGCCAGGGACTAAGGATGAAAAGTGGCCTTCGGGCTAATCATAGTGTATTTGAAGGTATATTTACATGAATATGTATTCTCCCTTTAAAAACAAATAAAATAAATAAATAAATAAATAATAATACTAAAAAAAACCAAACTAAAGGTTTTACACCAGGATTTAAGCCATGTTATATTCTTGTTTCCTCCTCAAAAACATACCTGGAGCTGTGTTTTGTTCACACAAGTTTGCATCAGCTCAAAAAGCTCTGTTCCAGTGTTGTAGTTTCAAAGTTAACAGCTACCATTTACTTTTAGTTCAAGAGATCAGCAATTCCAGGACTGAACTTATCCAAATTATTCTAGTGAAGCTGTTTGGAGTTTAAAAACACAGTGGAGCACTTTCTGTATTACCGCATGACATCACAAAGTGGAACAAAGTATTTTCATTGGAGAGAAGAGCCCAACATGTGTGAATGAAACAAAACACAACTCCAGGTATGTTTTTATGAGGAAACATTATAACATAGATCAGAAAATAGTGTAATAAGAGCCCTTTAAAGATCAACTGTACAGCAGGTGAGGAAAGGGAGCCATTAGGTAAGGTGCTACCTGCTGTGTTCTTTTCTCCACGCTCGGAGTTCAGCAAACACATCACTGCGTCCTTTCTCCTCAGGCTCGTCCACATCGTACGTGTGCTCGTGGACGTGAAGGGGCAGCTCCTGCGGCGTTAAGGCCGAAGCCGTGGGCGCCGTCTGAACAAAGCACCAGGCACAGGAGATTAGAACATGGCACCACAACTATAGCACAATGACTAACAGCATAACATACAGTACTAGTGGTTTATTTGATAAAACCCTCTTGTTACTTTGCTACTAAACTTATTTGGAATTTTGAATATCATCTATATTTTATTTACACCACCACTTTTCTTCATTTTTACTTCTACACAGCAAATTCAAAAGTGTTAAATTCACGATGTTGGTGTTATGAGTAAAGTGAAGAAAAGTGAAGAAAGATATCTTTCAGCACAGTCAAACGTTATTTCAACGATGACAGTGCTGTAGCATTAATTTATCTTGATTTTTGACTGCATATTTCTATTCTCCTGTTTGTGAACTGTGCATTGCAACATTGAAATTTCTCCCTTGTGGGACAAATAAAGGTTCTCTGTTTTTTTTTTATTACTATTTGCTCTATGTATTACAATGTGTGAGCTACTGTGTCTTAAGTCATGTCCCTGGTTTGTCCAAGTCTAAGTTTTAGTCTAATGGCCATGCAAATAAGGGCCCCTATATTAATCTAATGGAAATGAGGCAGGTAAAATTAAAACGGTCAATATCCATTTTGTTGTTGTCTGAATAAAATAACAACTATTTCAAAGAGCAGCAATGAGTAATAAAAATGAATATGAGCTTGTTTTTGGCTGGATAAGAAGACATTGTTTGTTTTTCTCCCCTACCCGCAATTTTTCTCGCCTCGCTCGAATCGCCTGGGCAGGATTTCCACAGAACAGGATTTTAGTAGATCCTAAAAAAAACACAAAAAAGTTACATTGTTAAAGGGCAAAACAAATGCATGCATTTTAATTTAACTTTAGCCTTCTAGTGTGATTCTGTATATATAAATAAACTGAATTATATATATATTGTTTTAGAACCAGACGTGTTCCTTGGACATGCCATAGTAAACTTAAATATGATATGTTACTGCCAAGCCACAACTACATGATGCTATCTCTACAACTACACTATTTCTGCCTACTGCAACCACTTTACTGTCTTTCTAAATTCTTTACCTTTTACCTTGTCTTTACAAACATCAAATCAAGTAAAATAAGAGCCACTCACAGACTGGACATATCTGAATGGAAAAAGACAGTGAGGGATGGGAAAGGAGAAATTCAGTTTGTCAACTGGACAAAAGATTATTTGGTAGAATAAGTTTTGTAGCTCATCCAACCTCTTTAGTTCTGGTCAGATGCTGGTGGACACTTCCTTATATCTGCCTGGAGATAATAAGGGATATATTTTGAAGTTCAACAATACAAGGGATATATATATATACATATATATATATATATATATATATATATATATATATATATATATATATAGATAGAGAGAGAGAGAGAGAGAGAGAGAGAGAGAGAGAGAGAGAGAGAGAGAGAGAGAGAGGGTACAATTTAAAATGTTATTGTTTTCAAATGTTTGCAATCTGAGGGAATTACTGCAGCCCTATACTCCGCCCAGAGCTCTGAGATCAGCTGACCAGCTCCCATTGGTCATACCCAATACTAGGCTCAAGATGAGAGGTGACAGATACTTTTCTGTGGCAGCACCCAGACTGTGGAACAGCCTTCCTCTTCCTGTCAGATCCTCTCAATCTGTAATGCAGTTTAAGACTAGAATGAAAACTCACCTCTTCTCCCTGGCATTTAGTACAAGCTAGTCAGGTTATCTTGGTGTTTTTATTGTAGTTTTCATCTATATATGTGTTTGTCATATGTAACCGTTTCTTCTTTATTTGTTGACTTCTATGTGGAGCACTTTGGTCAGCTGAAGTTGTTTTAAATGTGCTATATAAATAGACTTGAACTGAACTGAACTGAATTGAAAAACTGCATAACTATTATTATCATTACTATTTCATCAAGTGGAAGTAAAAAGTTTAACTATTTTTTGATAGTAAATATAGTTATAAAAGTTCACAAATCAATGACAGCAGCTCCAAGTTAAAATGGATTCTGGTTTGAATTCTGGATTTTTGCTCCAGAAAAAAAAAGTTTAAATTTTCTAACTAACCATGTGTGAGGGAGCTGCTCTCTGCATCTTCTGCTGATAATCCTGAGTCTGAAGATCCTGGTCTGGACCCAGAAGGAGAGAAGAGTCCAACTGCAGTGCAGGGCCTGGAGCCAGAGAGGGGTCTTGGGCTTTGAGATGAGCGCGTTTGAGATGAGCGTGGTCGGACACAGGACAGACTGGTGTAGGGGCGCCGGGCTGACGGGGGCCTACTCTGAGGAGACGTTCTGCCAGCCGATGGGTCTACAACAACAACAGTAAGTGAGTCATTAATCACAGTTATGAAAGTAAGTCAACTATAAAAGCTACATCAAAAATAAAATCGTTACCAAATACACACCATAGTCTGTATCCAGGTGAGCCGTGCTGGAGTCTTTGATGGAGTTTTGAAGAGTTTCCCAGTCCTCTCCCATGGTGCGGCTGCAGCTCAGGCCCTCCTCCTCTGCCCTCACGTTGTCAAGGTAACGTAACTGAGGGACCAACTCCCGCACGGCTGTTCGATAGCTGTAGTTGGCCGTCTGGGTAAAGACAAGGGAAGCAGAAACATGAAGAATACTGTATGAAAGTACTTAGTATGAGTAGTACCAATGATCACAGTTTTATAGACTTACACTGTAGTACTATATTGCTGTAATGCGTTTATTCAGCCACAAGGGGCCAGTAATGGAACAAAATATTTTTTGTGTATTATTGTGGGTGTCAAGTAATAATATATTTATGGGCTAAACGAAAGCACATGGTGAAAATGTTTATATTGAGGTGTTGTTGATTTAACTTTCAACTTCTAATTTCAAATTAACTGTCTGAAATGAAGTGTATGTAATGAGTGTGCTGGTGTTTCATGTACCTTTGTGTGATTGTTGTTGTACTTCTCCCTGTACTGTATTTTATCTGACATCAACCTGCCAAGGGACTAAAAATAGAAATAGGCCACTTTGGCAATAATCTTTACATATTTACATTTTAAAGGGTCCATCACCTTGCTTGTCTCCATGGAGATGTCCCTAGAATGTTCCACAGTATGGGCATAAACTTAAAAATGGAGATTTGTGGAGAAATGTCCCACTAACACTTATAACGCCTGCAGTTAAATAAATGCAAGACACATGAGTACAGATGAGTTCAGTACTATACTCTGAACAATATAAACCAGGGATCATCAAACTAAGGCCCGCGGGTTAACTCCGGTCCTCCACACCCCTTGACTGACCTCCAGCCCCTCTGCCCCCCACCACTTGAACTGGCCCTGAGGCAATCCTCAAAAGTTGTCATGGCTTATTTTTTTAAATTACTTTTGGCAAATAATAACACATCTGCATCTTGTATTTTGTAGATTTTTTCAATAAAAAAATTATATTTCTATGAAGTATTTAGATTTATTTTTAAATAACTACATGACATATTTACATTTGTCGCTGAATTTTCGTCACCTGATAAGCTCGAAATCAAACAGTGACAGTAAACGCAAGCGCAGTACTGCAGTGCAGTTAAGGACAGCAAAATGGCGAGTGTTAAAGTACAAAGAAGTTGACAGAGAGTGTCAAGTTTTCAAAGAACAGTGGACGACAGATTATTTTTTTGTTCAGTGTAAGGACCGTGCTGTTTGTCTGATATGTAAAGAAAGTGTGGACATTCTCAAAGAATATAATCTGCGTCATCAGGGTCATACAATTCTGTTATACGGCCAACCCGATCCCAGTCCTCCCATCACAGCCACAAGCAATAATGTGGCCCCCAAAGAAAAAGTTTGGTTACCCCTGATTTAAACCATCCTCATGAAGACAAGTAGTGAGCACACCCTCCACCTGAAAAGTTACACAGTGCACCTTTACATGTTCATTAATATGAGTTGTTCCTTTACAAATAAATAAAATACAAAATTAACAAAAAATTTAGTAAGTGAGGGAGACAAACAAGTTATGCCAAATTTACAAGCTTACAATTGTTGAATACATGAAGTTAATGCATTTTTTGGCTTGTGTTTACGATGGCAGCAGGAACATGGAGCCAGGCTTTATAATGCAGCAGAGATTAATAAGCACAACCAGTGAGAGCACTTTGCACTCAGCTCTGATCTATTATCTCCACAAACTGCATTGAGAACTGGACCGGAGTGTGGTGAGGAAAACCCAGTAAATCACCCAGTGACTATACAATCAAATTAGCTAGGTGCTCATGCCCTGAAGCACAGATGCAATGAATGAAAGAGCTGGAAGAGGAAACTAAAGAAAAAAAAAAAAAAGAGGAGAAGAGGGGGCCGGGTGACAGGAAGTGAGTGGATGTGCCTCTGTGTGTGTGCATGGCTAAGTTTGGCACAGCCCACCAGCCTTCACCACTACAAAGCACAGACCTAATGCATATGCAGCTCAGCATCTTTCTTCATTGCCCCAGATTCCTAATTAATGCTTGGCTGGTATACAGGGGAAATAAACACATTTACCATGCCCTGAAAATCTTTACTGAAGATAGAGGTCTGTGTTCAAACTATCCTGAGTTATCCAGTAAGGTAAAAAGATGGCAGCATGGTAAAATTGTTATGTTGCCTTACAGTAAGAAGATTCTGGGTTTTAATATGGGACACTGTGGGCCCATATTACACTATTTTCTGATCAGAACAGACCAGGAGTTTTCTTTTGTTTCATTCACACATGTTTAACACACAATCTTAAACCCAATACACCTTCGCTAGAATCATTTGGATGATTTCAGCACTGGGATTGCCAATTTTTAGTGACCTAAAGAAAAAAAGCAACATACTACAGATACACACATGAGTAAAATTGACATGTGCTGGTTTGGTGTGTGATAATCCTTAAATGTTTGGTTGTTGCCATGGTGATGCCCTCAGCTCTCTTCTCCAGTTTTGTATTTGGCACAGACAGATGCAGAGAGGCAAGATCACACAGATTCTTTGATTATTACATTGGGTTTATTGTCAACTATAGCCACAAGATGTGAGCACTGACAGATGTTAGCAATACAAACATGTGAATAAATACACTGAACTTAATAATAATAATAATAATAATATCTTTATTTCTTCATTTTACTAGTTCTCTCACTGTACTGTTGGTCATTTGTTGACCTGCTCCTGAAGAGACAAGAGACATTTCACTGAGAGCAAAAATAGCAACTGCCAACAAAGAAACCCATCAACTGTCAAAAGACTACAAGCCAAAATGAAAATCCCACAAAAATACATTATGGCTTTGAACAAACTGGATATTAACTAAAAGCCTGCAGTTTCTGAAGTTTTGATCTTGGGAAAAAGCCAAAAAACTGGCAGCTCAACAGGTGATACCTGAACTGCGGAGACTGCCTCTCCCCGAAAAAGTCTCAAAGCCCCAAAAAGAGAGAAAAATAGCCTAGGGTCTCTGCAAAGATGCACCAGTTTTTGAAAAGGACAAAAATCCAATAAGTTGCTTTAAATGATCTGGTGGTTGTTAAGTGGGCGAAACCTCCTGTGTACACTGTGGTGGACGTGGACAGAACCAGAGAAAAATGGATTTACCACGTACGGTTAACACTTGGAGATGACACTGTGACTGCCAGAGGATTCACGGCAAAGGATGCTAAAAAGAATGTGGCTGCCCTCATACTAAATGGGATTGGGGTACTTTAAAATCAACACCTCAACACACAAACTTCTCTGACACCAAAGTTGCACTTCCAGTCACCCAGGAAGACTCAACTGACGCACCCACAACTCAAAACTAGTCCTCAGAATCACAGGCTCTGGCAGCAGAGGGTGCTACTGGAAATGCACAGGCGAAATACTCCATTATTGACCGTCTACCATAAGACCTCCTACCAACATTGGCTTTAATGGGAGTTTAGGAAAGACTGAAGGAGTCAGCATTAGTGCGCCCATCGCCACAAGATCCTGTGGAGACAACATTCCAGGAACCAGCTCTTGAAATACACGACAGGCCACCAGAGACACGAGAGGTCCCAGATGTTACCACGGTGGAGACAGCAGAGGTAACAGATGTTACTCAGGAGGAGAAACTGCAGGAAACAGATGTTACCGAAATGGATTCACCAAGGGGCCAAATGTTACAGAGATGGACAAACTACAAGTACCAGATGTTGAAGAGCTAGAGAAACTGCAGATACTAGTTGCTACTGGATTGGAGACACCAGAAGTGGACACAACAGAGATATCAGATGTTATCCAGGTTGAGAAACCACAGGAACAAGATCTTACGGCAGTGGAACATTGAACCATTAGTGACTATATACCACAAGAACTTCTACAAATGTTGGCTGCAATGGGAGTTTTGGAGAGCGTGAAGGAGTTATAAAGAAAAACAGCCCCATCAGAGTCAGCCCTCTTTTGCCCATTACCGCTAGATCCCATGGATTCAGTTATTCAGGAGCCCACTTCTGAAATACCTGACAGGCTTGAGATTCTTGAGACAGAGACAGCGTACCCCTGAAGTGGAAACACCAGATGTTGGAGTACAGATGTGGAGAAAGCAGAGGTACCAGTGGATACCCAAGTGGAGACTTCAGCAGATGGAGTTTAAAATGACACCAATCAACTAAAAGCTCAGACTAAAAAGACCAAAACGATATTAACTGTGGTCATGGAATTGGCCAGAGCTAAGCCTGTCACTTCTCCTATTGGACTAAACACCATTACCGACGGAGAGACACCAAGACAACCAGCCACAAGTAAACCCTATTCAGCTGAGAGCAGCAGTTCACCTGTACTTCAGTTTGGGCCCACCTGTCCTGCAGTCTGACTCACACTCTGGTCAAGAAAATATTGCAAAAAAACGTCTATAGCCGAGATGTGTGCCACAACATTGCCAACAGACTGGACAACAAGATAAAGAACCAGCTTATTGCGGGGCCACATACCAGCATCAGTGATAACAAATTAATGAGAATAGTCAAAGGGGCTGCCAGACATCTAGAAATACATTATGGATCGCCTGCCAATCTCCTGAAGGCAGCGTGTACCTCTGACAATGCAGTTTGAAGCAAATATTGTAAAATGTCTCAACACTGAGCTTGAGGCATTTCAAAACCAGCTGTGTCACACTTCTTCTCTATTTTTCACATTTTAGAATTAAAATCTACGTGCAAACTAATTGAATTATTGTAAAGTTAAAATATGAGTTAAATAGCTTTATGGGCTGCACTGCTACAGCAGCTCTAATCTCCACTGTTTTACCTGGGGTACAGTTGGATTTGGGCTCTTGCATATGGGGTTTCCATCCAGAGTGAGATTTTGGAGCTTGGTGCACAATCCCAAGAACTGGATTTGAACAAGGTCATCCACATCGTTCCCCTCGAGATCCAGGATGTGAAGGTTTTCCAACATGCCCACCTGACTCAGCTCTGACACTTTGTTATAGGCCAGGTACAGCTCCTAAGAAACCACAACACAGTACACAGTACGTATAGCAGAGGATATAGTCAGTTAAAGGCATAACAGATGGGTGCATGCTATAAATAAAATATGTACTCAATGGAGTTCTGTAGGCAGGAGTGGTACCTAACATTAGCAACATTTTCTGTTTACACATACTGTAAAGCAGACTCTAAGTTGTATAGAATAAATGTGTGATTTTTAAACTTAGCCTAACTTAAAACAGTGTAGGGCTGAGCATGAATTTGAATTTGATAGGGTTTTTTTATCGAGATATCTGTTTGGGAAATAAAAAATTATAGCCATTTTTATTAGTTTTTAAGAGAAAATCAAAATCATAAAATAATATAAAAAAAAACAAACTTGGTAACTTTTTTCTGTCATAATGCCTAGCCCTAAACTAATGTAAAACAGTTTAATTTAAGTTTTTTTTGTTTTTGTTTAGCAGAGGCACAAAGGCCACCAGCTGCAGGTGCACTGGGATTAATGCATCTTCAACCAGGCTAAAAATAGCAAGTTATACTAATGTTAAAGTTGGTTAGCTTCAAAGTGAAGGTAATTTAAGCATTTTTCCACTGGATGACGTCAATAGATGGGGAATGAGGGTTTTATTTCTTCCATTCAGCAAATTACCTTGAGAGTGGATAGGGACGAAATACCATCCAAGTCTTCCAGACAGCAGCATGGCATCCACAATACCTGAAGCCGAGAGAGGGAACTTCCTATGTCTCTGTTAAAAAAGAGACAAGAAATATTGCTTTTCTTTACCTAATCATTTTCTAATAGCTTCATATATTGTCAACATGGGTAAGTGTACCTGATTGACTTTATTACACTATTGTTCATTTTGAGTTGTTCCAGTTTGGGCAGATATGCTCCTAAAAAGCAGAACAGACACGATTAAAATGGTGAAATGGTGACATGGAATAGTGAGGTGGCAGAGGATGACGTCTTCTGTTCTTTTTAACATGCACTGACAAGGCTCTCTCTCTCTCTAAGGATCTTGTGCAACGTGGGGTTTTATATGAACAAAAGCTAGCAACAAAAATATTTTATCAGCTCTGTCATCTTGTTTTGGAAGAACATTCGGTGCTTATATCATGGCAACGTTTTGACACTTTATTTAGCTGTAGCATTTTACTTTTTCCCTTAATAATAAATACACAAATCCGTGACTTCACTCACCAAAGTTGCCCAGGGTGTTGCTCTGTGTGTTTATACACATTTCCACTGAAGTCACCTCTGAAAGGTCCTGCGTTCCACACAACAGTTCCTACAAAAATAAACATCACATTATTTTTTAAGGTTTATAGAAAAGCACATCATTAGAAAATGTCTCACATTTATAAATCTTTGTAAAGTTTCTATATAACAAAGCATATTTTTGTTACAAATGTGTAGGTATACAATGATGAGACAAAAGCCTTGTTAGAATTATTGTTAGAAAGAAGCCAAAATGATAGTGAGCATAATTTTGCTTGCATACTGTGACTAGAGATTTGGACAAGCCTATTAAAATGAAACAAATGGTATCACGGGCGATGAATACCCACAGGTGTAAAAGATGGACTTACCAGTGTCTCTGGGGTAAGGTAGGACTCAGATGAAAGATCCAGGTCTTCACAGCGCCGAGGGGTTGGGTTGATATGTCCTGATCCACTCAGCTCAGTTACCAAGACCCGGGCTGAACCAGGGCGGGCGCCCTGAGACCCAGAGCTGTGGGGGATGTTCATGTCTCAGATCTGTCTAAATGCAAACAAACTGAGTTAATTTATGTTAATCTACATTAATTTAACATTTAATCCCAATGAATGATAAAAAACATATTGAAATGTGAACTAATGTTTCCAAAAGCAGTTGTGTTGTTGGTCTAGTAAAGAATTATTGCAATGAAATTCCAGTAAAATCCAACACAATAAGTAAAACTATGGAGCGTATTGTACCTTTAATAGTTAGAGAGTTATAAGAGTTAAAGCGATAGCCAAAACATCCCAAAGCTTGCAGAAAAGCCCGTTTCCAGAGGTGAAAGTTTGGTTGACAACCGCTGTCCACTTCCTGGATACCACCAGACCCCTTGGCCTTCTGGGATTTGTAGTCACACTTATGATAGTCCATGTTTTGGTGTGTTTCAATAAACCGCTAATCAAAACCATTAAAACAGAACTTCAACAATACAAATTACTCTAAAACGCGGAAAAATATACTGCAACAAAATCCAATATCACTGCGGAACGAAAAATCCTGTGTGGTAGTGTAGTGTTACGTTTAAGTGAGGTATGTTTTCACGGGTTTTGAGAATTTCAAGGTTAGTGATATAAAAGCTTATTATTGTAAACAGACGCATACTAAAAATAAAACCATGTATTATCTAAATTCATCGAAGTTTTATTTTGGTGTCATGAATGCAGAACTCAGGGTGTATATCTAGTTAATTATAATAATACATGCGTGTGATGCAGTATCGAGACAGATGTGTATAATTTCCCGAGGTTATTTGAAGGCAGCAGTAACATGCACGGTAACCGGGGCGGGTCTTGGTTTGATAGAACTGGGCGTGGGCTCCACTCGCAGCGTCTGTCCTCGCCAGAAGCACATTGTTCAACGCGGGCGCTTTTTACATTGAATCCACCTCGTTTCATTTTTATTTTTTGTGATTTTAAGTGTTCCTTCAGTGGCACAGGGAAGTGAGGATTGTGACACGAAGCGGGATCACACAGCTTTCTTCTTGTAGCTGAGAGGCAACAGACTTGGAAGATTTCCTCTGTGGCAGAAGAAACAAGGCGGCTGTGTGGCTAATTAGACCTGGGCTTGTTGTAAGTGTGACTTTAACATTCTTGTATTGTAAAATGTGTGTGGTATTATCTTTTCACTGTGCAATCCCCATCACTGGAGACTGCGGTCAACAGCTGGCAATAATGATGAGCAGATAGCTAATGTATCGTATCACATTCATGCCGATAATCCAGTGCGCCTTTTCCTGTTACATCCCCTATTATTATGTTCTAATGAGCTATTTATACACGCGTTACTGTTATCATCCACCCCTCCCAGTTACGGATGTTTTCTCAAGTGTTTTCAGAGTTCCCATGAGTTTACAGACAAGAAATTACCCAAATTGTCCACCCTTAATGAAAACCCAATGCATTTGAATGTAAAAGCGATTCTCCTGACTTGTGTTGTCTTGAGAGGACACACTCCTCACTACTGGCCGCACAGACGGTGGGTGACGCCCCGTCACACTCGGTATAAACTGAATGTATCACTGCGGAAGTTAGATTCCATTACAACGCGTTTGGCGGCCGCTTCTTTCCTGGAGGATTTAAATTGCTGTTTTGTAAAGTGAAAGCTTAAAGTGTGGAAAAACTTCTGTCTCACGCAGCCTAATCATTCTTTCAATGTGTTGTGTGGACCTTTACTTTGGAGGGCATCCACAACAGTGTTTCCACTTGTCACTGACAAACTATCAACCACAACAACAAGGCCTACAAAAGCCAGATGCACATGCAATCTTTATTTAAAACAATCTTTCCAGAATATTTTTGTTCCCATTGGCTTTTTTCTTATCTTGGGGCATTTTGACATAAATGCTCTAGTGGATTCCTTTTCTAACAAGATGATGTCTATTTACCTTGGCTTTACCTTGGGAATGTTCCAGAGTAGAACAGCATATGACCCCAGTCTGTACCTGCATTATGCTGCCTGCCTCTAAGTCTGTATTGGAAATTATTTCACACTGAATAACAAGTTTAGCTTGCAGCTGGGGTGGCCAATATGGAGCATAAATATCTCAGTATTCTATCTTATGTCTGGAAATACAATTTTTTTCTATGGAACTGAAATGTCATGTCCTTGTAGAAAGCTTGCTTTCTAACTTTCTTCTAGTTTTAAGAACACTGTCTATTGTTGTTGATATTTCAGTATTAGTTTGCAGAGATTAGAGATAAGAAGACTTCAGATTGAAACAGCTGGACTGTTAAGACTGTGCCCTTGTCCTCTCCTCCAATCTGTAAGCAGAGTTTGGGGTGTTGGGTGTCCAATGATTAGCCTGGTGCGCTGCTCTCTTTGGCTGGCTTTTGTGTGGAGGTCAGCTGGCCTTTTCATCTCTACTTCTGCTGCTGCCTCCACTGCCTCTCCCTGCTCACAATACACTAAAAGGAAGACCCAATACAGAAAAGGTCACATGGACTCTCTCATCCACTGTATGAACCATCTCATGACGCACAGAGAAACATGATCATGCTTGTTTTGTAAAGTGATAATCTGTGAACAAATTTGGAAATATTTTTGGACTCGATATCATTTTTGGCATTCCCCTGCCCCAGTCTAATCCATTTGAGTCTGTTTTGAAGGTGTCATGGCGGCCGGTCTGCACTTCTGTTTGGATGCACTTACGGGGGGATGATGTCATTGGGCATTGGACAAAAAGGGGGGTAGCACGCAGGGCTATCAAGACTCTGTGATGGGTCTTGGAGTCTCAGTATTGGAGCATGATACCTCCCCAGAGAGGGTCTCCTTACCATCATCGCTCCATTAAAAATCTATTATCTCTGCAATGGGGCTTGCTTGTGGCCGTACCAATATGGATTCTTTAACCAATTAGTCCCTGCAATGGAAACCAAAATGATGAAAAGAACTTCATGGGTGTATGTTTTTTAGAATGTGAAAAAGAAGATAAAAGACATATTAAACTGCTACTAGTTTAGGCTGACATAAATTAGCTCATTCAATCTTTTTTTTTAATGACAATTTTCTTCCCTTCCTTTTCTTGGCGAGGAATGAAATCTCCAAACAAAACCACAGGTAGCTTGATGTTTTTCTAACTGCGATGCGCTGCTTCTTGCATCAGCAACACTCACATATGGACATGGTAAAAAGTTACTTAGTTTTACCCACTTGTTGTGTTTAAGATAAGATCACTGTTATATCATTATTGTAAATATATGAACTTTCTCTCTCCCCTGTAGCTGCCCTCTTGCTGCTATGGGCATACACCCTCCGTAAGCTGTCATGTAACATTATCCTCTGAGTCCAGGCCGAGTGCTAGGGTTTCAAAAGAACTGTTAATTTCCCAGGCTTAAGGTGGCAAGCTATAAATAACTTTAAAAAGAGTGGTGCATATTTAGGGAAATAAATGCAGCCAATCACACCTGCCTCCTTGTTAAGACATACCACTGTATGTCAGAAATTATTGCAACATATTTAGGGGATTATCTCACATGGATTCAATTCCAGATAAAATCTACAAGTTGACAAGCATCTGTGTTTCCTTGCAGAAACAATTCAAAAAGCTCTATTTAAAATGTGCAGCTAATTCTCTGTAAGGTCTAAGACTATCTATCTCCACTGCTATTTTATAAGAAGGTTGCCTTTTCTGGAGAAGGGTATGCTTGTTTTACAGAGATTATATGACTATGCTTGGAATGTTCCACATTTTGTCTTTATATCTTTATATGTTGCATTTATTTGAACAATATATATCTTTCATATCTTTTAAAAAACGTCCACTCTTTTTACTGTGAGCCGGCTCACCTTTTGACAGATCCGACCTGTAACTTGGTCTGGTGGTGGCCTCACCTGCTTGTCTGCATGGAGATAGATAAGTGTAATGACAAACTGTGGAACATTTAAGGCAGAGCAATAGTGTCCCTATGGAGACCAGCAGGTGGCAAACCCTCCAACAGTTTATATACATAAATAATACATCAAATCTGAAATTATTTGATGCATTTTTTGTTTCTCTGGTGAACATCCCCTTTTGTCATTCTCAAAATGTTGCTTCAAAGACCAGTTCGGGACAAGCTCCCAGATCTGAGAGAGTGACAGCTCATCTCCATATGTTTGTGTGGATTATTAATCAGATTGTGGCATGGCCCACTTTGAATGGAGGAGACAGGGCTGTTTCTCAGTAACAGTGCACTGAAGATTAGCATTTGAAATGAATTTCAAAGATTTGTCAGGAGCAAAATTAAGATGCCTTGATCATAAGCAGTTGGAAACATCTCTGATGTAAGGTAAAATATCACGTCATTATGTTGTTGCAATGAGTCAGTGAGACAAGACGAGAAAGAACCGTGTGATGCAAAAATTTACCTTCTCTATTTCACATACTTGTATCACTGTATATTTTGCACACAATATGGCAACAGTTTTCCTATGAAATTGGATGATCATAATTTACTGTAATCACAGGATCTGCGTCAGAACAGTATTTGGCCAAAACGAAGTACAAGAGTAAAAGCGTGACTATGACGACATGAGGAACCAGTGTGGAGGTGTTGTAAAAACCTTCATGGCAGTTAGAGGAATGGGTGGTACTGTTGAGAGAGGTTGCAAAACAAAAGTGCTATAATTTGTAACAACACTAACTGAAACACACTGTGACCTTGCTTTTATTATTTAAAGACTGTCACTGCTATTGCCTGAAGCATGTCCTTGACACTAAAATTTCATTTCTAAACTCATCACTATGGAACTCCCAGTACAGTTTTTGGCAGAGTTTACATACACACCAAAATCTGATCATGGTCTGATTTCTGAAGTTCTCATTTCATTAAGTAAAAAGTGAATTGTTACATCTGAGTAATCTGGTTTCTTTCTGGTTTGTTCACAGCTGTGCAGCTGTCGGAAAATTATGCAAAGTAAAGTGGCAAAGACAAAAATGAAAGGGAAATGGAATTGTATTTGTTCTTTATCTTTAAAACACATCAGTAATTCTGAAATTTAAATGTGCATTGTGTAACTTTTCTGGTGGAGGGTTTGTCAAATGCTTTTCTCTATGGAGATGTTATTGCTTTCACTTGAATGTTTCACAGTATGGTGTTAAACCTTTCTATCTTCATGGAGACCAAACCAAGTTACAGGTCAGATCTGTGGAGAGGCATTCTGACACTTCAGGTATTTTTAAGCTGTAAAACCACCTGTAATTGAATAAATGTAAGGTAGAGCTTTTTAAAGACATACTCTGGAACATTCCAGGCAGAGCAATGACATATCCATAGAAACAAGCAGGTGATGGTCTCCCAGTCAAAAAGTTACATAGTGCACCTTTAACAGACACGTGCCACCAGGTGTTTTTGATGTTCAGATTTCTTTAGTTCATGTGATCACAGGACAAATCAGATTTTTATGGGCTGTCCTCTGTGATATGAAGTGAAGTGTTAAACCAGCCTCACACGTCGGGACCTTTGACGTGGTGATTAGTGTTCGACTGTATTTAGTGGCTATGTGGAAGTTGTCCAGGCTGAGAACAGTGAGTCACCATCATTCAGCATTACTAATCTGACATTACTCAATCAGAGCTGTGCAGTGTTCAAGGTGGATTGGAGGACACACTTTAGATGGGCAAGAAAGGTCTGGAATGATTAATACCCGACTATATTCAACTATAGACGGTGTTATTTTGATTTACAGAAACTCCACGTGTCCAGTCAACCACACAAATGGACTTTTTTGCCTCTCACGATGACACATTTTGAAGCATGGTGTGTTGCTACAGAGAAATACTGCGATAAATGATAATACTGAGACTGCTATATGTCACTAACACAATGATGCTTAATGCAATTAATCCCAGTTAATTCCAGTAAACCCTCTTTAAATAGACAGTATCTTTCAAAACAAATGCATCTTCTACAGTTCAAATCTTATTAAGTTTGTATATTGTACAACAAAAATACCCACAGTCTCGTAACTTCTACAAAGAAGATGTCCACACAATTGAGCCCCTAAATATATTGTTCCAGCTTTCATATTTTGAACGATAAATCAATATATTAATTGTTGTGACAGACCTATGTGTTGAACTGAAAGATGG